ATTTATCCATTGCTATTTGCATACCGTAATACAGATATATAAAAAAATGGATGCAATAAAACAAGTGAAGGAACCACAACAAGAACGCGCAAAATATAAAGAGTTCAGAAAAAAAGCTCCATTCAAAAATTCATTAATTATATGGTAGTGCCATTTAAAAAAAAATAAATTTGGACTTGCATCTCGAAAACAAATGAAGCAAAAAAAAATTGTGACGAATAATTAGAACACAACTTCTTGTACCCTTAGACCTAATTTCAGTTGAATTGTAGCGACCCTGTATAACATGACAAATTTGTCCGTATAACCTACAAAAATGAATACAGTACCCACCCCCAACCTGTATTACTGCACCGTGTTACCCATTTCAAAATGGCTGCCGCGTGAGTGTCGTGTGTACATACATCTCTGATTAAAACCAAAGTGCTGTGGCCGTTTTGTGAATTTTTATTATTGATCTTTTGCTAACATAGTGCCTATGCAGTTTACTACTTACTTCTGTATTCAGCATTAATTTTCGGATGCTATAGTCAAGTTTTACGTGTTCCACAAATTAGAGGAAGGTCAGTAAATCGGCGAGTTTTTGCTTTATCAGCACGTTTTCTTTTACCGAAGTAATTGATTACAAACTATTAATCCTCTGTTCTCTACTGTTTTCTACCCGTGGCCTACCTGTGAATGTTTTAGTCACCCTAAAAGGCCCTTGGGTGCAATTTGTATCCCTGTTTATATCTTAACCATTTCCTGGTTTATTTTTATTTATTTATTTTTTTTTATTCACTTTTCCCTATTTCACATTGATTATACGATGAATAACAACAATTGTCGCAACTGTAGGCAAAAATGTGTGGTAAATGAATCCGCAATTTCGTGTGATGCATGTCAGGGATTATTGCATAGTTCTTGTATTGGCCTTTCTGACTCTGACATCATAAGAACACGCTCAAAATCAAAAGCTATAAAGGTTGTTTGTAATCTATGTAACGCAAATATGGCTCAATTCAAGGATTTCAAGGCATTAATCAATTCAATTCAGACTGATTTTCTAGCTTCACTTAACCAATTGAGAGCCGATTTGGAGAATCAAGTCGCAACATTAAAAGAATCACTCATTAACAAACCTAACAACCAATTTGAGGAGATAGTAGCTGAGGTGATGGAGAGAGAAAAACGCAAGAATAACCTAATCATCTTTGGAGTGCCGGAACAGTCTAGTTCCCTCAACAATAGTCAACGCGCGGATTTAGATCTATCTGCTGTAAATAGTGTTCTGGAATCAATTAAACCTGATCCTGCTGTTCCTGAGTTTAAATTGCAGAGACTAGGAAGATTTTTGCCCCACAATTCAAAAACCAGACCTATCAAGGTCACTTTTGGTGATGAGTCTGATGTTCATAAGTTTATCCGTGAAGCCAAGAAGCTTAAGGGTAATCCAAGTTTCGGTGCTATTTCTTTATCTTTTGACCGTACTACGAAGCAAATTGAAGCGTATAAACAGCTTAAACAGCAACTCGATGCTAGGATTGCAACTGGTGAAAAGGATCTGAAAATACGATATGTGAAGGGTTTACCGAAAATTGTTTCTTTAAACTGAAGAATACACCCAGTAACAACAAAACTAATACACTTCGCTGCTTCTATCAGAATGTGAGAGGACTACGATCTAAAGTTAGTGATTTCTATAATTCTATTTGTTCACAGAATGATTTTGATGTAATAGTGTTAAGTGAAACATGGCTTACTAGCGATATTGTCAATAGTGAATTATTTCCCTCTTATTTCACTGTTTTTCGAAAAGATAGAAATTTTCGAGTGTTAGCAGTTTCACGCGGTGGAGGTGTTTTAATTGCTGTTCGAGCATGTTTTAAAACACTATCATTAGATCTATCAGCTATTTATGAAATTATTCCCAATGTTGATGTTGTAGGTGTCAAACTGCTGCTCAAGGGTCAGAGCCTAATTATTCTTTCAGTGTACATGCCACCGCAAACGTCATTTCAGGAGTTTGATTTATTTCTTGACACTTTAAATGCTATTGAAGATTTTAAATTCTGTAAGTTGCTTATATTAGGGGACTTTAACGTGCCTGAGTTTTCACTCGGCATTTCAAATCAATTCACGGCTTCTCTTAACAACTTTCTACAATTTAATATTCTATCACAGTTCAACACAATACAAAATACGCGGCAACGCATCTTGGACTTAGTTCTGTCTAACTTGAAATGCCAGGTTGATAGTGCAGATTTTGATCTTGTTGATGCCGACGATCATCACCCTTCTTTATCCATACTTACGGTTTTAGAGACTCCATTACGTGAATTTCCATTAAATGATATGACTAATCAATTCAACTTCAAAAAAGCTGACTTTCGATTGCTATATGATTTGCTTGGGTCAACCAATTGGGACTTTTTAGAGGCTAACATTGATGTTGATAAAGCATGCTCACTTTTCTATGATAAGCTTCATGAAATTTTTCTTCTTACTGTTCCAAAATCGGTGCCCAAACGTAATAGTCACTCCTGGCCTCCCTGGTTCAATCAGGAAATCATTGCAACTATTAAGGCAAAGGATGCTTGTCACAGGCTGTATAGAAAACGCAACACTGATTATTACAGGAATTTATTTAAATTGTATCGTTCTCGGTGTAAGCATCTTATTAAGGCGTCGTACAAGGAATATATTCACAGAATTGAGAACAATATCTCAACGGACCCTAAATCGTTTTGGGCATTTGTTCAATCTAAAAAGGGGGGTACTAGGATTCCTGGGGTGATGCATTTTAATGACTCACAACTTACTTCACCAGAGGAAATTGTAAACGCGTTTGGTGAGTACTTTAATAGTGTATACATTGCCTCCAATGATGATATATGTCCCTCTTTTGCCTTTGACAAGTCGAGTCAACTATTTGTATCTATTGATTCTCTAACTGAAAATGATGTTTTTCTAGCCTTGAAAAAGTCAAAGAATTCTTGTACTGCTGGGTTGGATGGCATTCCTAGTTTCCTCCTGAGTGACTGTGCATGTATCTTTGCCCATCCCTTGCTAAAGATCTTTAATCTCATATTAAAGCAATGTAAAATGCCTGATTGTTGGAAAAAGACTTGTATCTGCCCGGTATTCAAAGCAGGTGATGTGTCTGATGTTGATAAGTATAGACCCATTAGTTTGTTATGTAATTTTGCAAAAACATTTGAGACTGTTCTGTATAAATACATTTATTCTGCTGTCAAATCTCATATAACTGAATATCAACATGGTTTTTATCAGGGTAGATCTACGATTACAAACCTGGCGTGTTTCTCTCAATATGTTTCTGTTTGTCTTGATAATAGGGGTCAAGTTGACACTATTTACACGGATTTTCGTAAAGCATTTGACCAAATTGATCATTATGTCTTGATTGCTAAATTACAACAGTTTGGATTTTCCGCTCCTCTGATCAACTTTTTCCGTTCATATCTAACGAACAGAGTCCAAGTCGTTAAATATCGTAATTTTTATTCACAACCATTTTCTCCTACCTCTGGTGTGCCGCAAGGGTCTAACTTAGGTCCATTATTGTTTCTTCTGTTTGTTAATGATATTGTTGATGGTCTATCATGCGAGAAACTTTTATATGCGGATGACCTCAAGTTGTTTATGGAGATTAAAAATATTAACGATAGCGTGACTCTTCAAGCTAATATTCAGATTATTTTGCAATGGTGTATTCGTAATCGTTTATCTCTTAACCAAGACAAATGTTTCGTTGTGTCCTATACAAGAAAACTTAATCCTAGTATATTTCCTTACACCATAGCCAATACTGAGTTACATCGTTGTGACAATTTTAAAGATTTAGGCATTACGTTTGATTCTAAATTCAATTTTGTGAAACATATAGATGATGTAATAGCAAAATCTTTTAGGATGTATGGTTTTGTTTACAGAAATTGTAGCGAGTTCTCAAATATAAAAACTTTATGTAATTTATATTTTGCGCTTATTAGATCTAGATTGGAATATGGTGCTATAATTTGGTATCCCTTATATGATGTGCATGTTAAAAATATCGAAGCTGTTCAGCGTAAATTTCTCAAATTTTTATGTTATTGTGTAGATAAAGTTTATCCTGAAAGGGGGTGTGATCATGCTGCACTTCTGAGTAGGTTTGAATTTCTAGCTCTCCAGGATCGGCGCAATATTATTGTCATTAAATTTGTTTTTAATTTATTTAACAACAAAATAGATTGTCCGAGCCTTCTGGATAAATTTAACTTGGTCGTACCTCGTATTAATTCGCGCCAATTTCAAACTTTTTATAGTCCAGCATATAAGACAAACGTATTACGTAAATCTCCAGTAGTTGTTATGTGTAATAAGTTGAATGAAATATCTACTCATTGCGATATACATTACGACTCGCTATCGGTTATAATCAAATCCTTTTTTTGTATTAGTAAGTAGTAAGATTTATATTTTGTAGTTTTGTGGGAGCTTTTATTATTAATAATGGCTTATGTTATACTTAAGTTCCCTGACTTTGGAATTGTATGTTATTTATTTACTGTTTGCGGTTGATTTGAGCCTAAGTTAGTTAAGTTTTAGTTTTCCTTGTTATTGGGTGTAAACCTGTTAGGAATAAAGCCTTATTATTATTATTATTATTATTATTAATATTATTATTTCTGGTTAAATTCAAGTATTTGCACACTTGTGACATAAATAAACATTATCGAAAAACCAATATCCAAATAAAAAACTCATTACAACATTGTTTTGTAACAACTTTTAGGGACTTGCATATATTGACTATTGTTCACTTGTAAATAAGACGAGTTATAGTCATTGACCCTTTTACACTATTTATTCAAATCTTTATTCACTTCGAAGTTCATTGTTAGAGGTGCAAACATTTTGTAATTAATTACATATTAATCGCACAAAAGTTCAAATATAAGCCAGGTGCACTCTTTTGAGCCAGTATTCCACTACTTGCGTCAAAGATGACTCCTAATATAGCTACTATTAGTTCTGAAGAAGACAAAATGCAAGAAATCGATCATAAGGTGGACACCAAGACGAAAAGAGAAATTGCTTGGAAAAAAGTTATATTTTTTACGTATGTACACATTGAAGCAATTTTGGGACTTTACTATATTTTCACGGAGACAAAATGGCAAACAATAGTTTGGGGTACTTTTTACCAAATGTTATAATTTTTTATTTTTATTCTTTTCTTTTTAGGTTATCTGTTGACATTAATTTCCTCACAAGGGATAGGAGCTGGCGCACATCGATTGTGGGCCCATCGCACCTACAAAGCAAAGTTGCAATTAAGAATATTGTTGGTATTTTATCAAACTATGACATTCCAAAAAGACATTTACGATTGGGTCAGAGACCACAGAGTCCACCACAAGTTTTCAGACACCGAGTGTGATCCGCACAATGCGAGTAATGGTTTCTTCTATAGCCACATAGGCTGGCTTATGTTAAAAAAGGAAGACTGCGTAATTAAAAAAGGCAAAATGTTGGACCTAAGCGATCTCGAGGCTGATCCTGTAATCATGTTTCAAAGAAAGTGAGTACCACCTACATTGACAAGCCTTGTTCAAACACTTCCGATCTTATTTAGGTACTACTGGTACATAGCGCCAATTCTTGCCTTTGTTTTGCCGGCTGCGTTACCATGGTACTTCTGGAACGAAAATTTCCACGTTTCTTGGTGTGTTTGCAGCATGCTGCGTTTCGCCCTTTCTCTACATGCCACATGCTTAGTTAATAGCGCTGCTCATATTTTTGGCAAAAGACCGTACGACAAGTAAGTATTGATATTATGTGACTTAAACACTTGTAGGTATTCATGAGTACAAAATTATTCTAGAAATATTTTACCACGAGAAAATATGTTCGTTTCTTTTGCTACTAACGGAGAAGGATTTCATAACTACCACCACGCGTTCCCTTGGGATTACAAAGCCGCTGAGTTAGGCAGCTATTATGGAAACTTGAGTACAGCTTTTATTGAATTAATGGCTCGGATTGGGTGGGCGTATGATCTTAAATGTGTGCCAGCTGAACTAGTTGAAAGAAAAGTGCGAAGATCAGGAGATGGTAGCTGGGAGTTAACAAATGACTATTCGTGGGGTTGGGGCGATAAAGACATGGAAAAAGACTATGTTAAAATGACCAGAATTAACTACAGAAAGAATGCTACAAGTGGTTAATTTTAACTTAACAAGTATTTATTTATTTATTTATAACTCAACGACTTATATGTGTAAATGTATATGCATATATAATTTCCACGTATTAGAAATAAAGATTTATAAGAAATAGTTATGTCTGCTTTATTTGCATACCCCATAGCGGTTTTACAGCACAATTCCTAAATCAATGTGACAATAAATCTCCATCTTTGGCACATGGAATTTTCAATACATTTTCAAAATGTAATTAATATATATTTCTCTTATTTTTAGCATTTAGGTGAAGTTTCTCACAAATTTCGGAACGCGGTTTTCACCACTGTTTTCAGCTTACAAAACTCTATAAGTCTCGTGGAAAACATTGTCTACTTTTTGTGTCAGAAATGAAATACAGTAAAAGGAAAATCGAATTTAAAGAGTTATCTCCATCCAAAATTGCTAAAAAAAGATGATTATAAACTAATTAAAAAGAAAAGTGTTCTTGCATTATATAGAGAAAGTTTTGCGCAGGTTATATTTACAATTTCGTATCAATCAGTTTCTTAATTATGAAGATGTTATAATTGTGTACGTATTGTTACGAAATACGCCCCCGTACGACGTCTATAGGTTTTCTAGTATGTGCGGCGATGATGGGTAGCACATTGGAAGCGGAAGTCGCGATGGGTATTCCAGAAAGACCTTGATCACGGAACCTCTAGAACGAAGTATGGGTTTAAATTGAGGCCACTTTAGGGAACGAGCATTATTCAGTCAACGAGTCGAGTCCATTGAATATTTAGAATCTAGTCAATTTGCACCACGGAGTTATTCTGTACATAATCGATGTAACAGTTATTCGTGTAATTCGAGTTATTAAGAAATAAATTCTTGAGTTTTACCACGCTGATCTTTAATCACCGATGAACGTAACAGTATTTTAGGAATATTGTGGGGATGGTATAATGCTAATCACAATGTATCTAATCATCCCATTAACAGTGTGATAGCTTCCTCTCAACATTTTTCATAACAAAGAGGATCAAAATGTTATAAAATAACATACTCCAGTACTTGTGGTTTATGAATGCGCGTTGGTTTTTTAAAATTCATTTTTTTATTTCCAAATTGTGTTGTTTCAAGTCCAACTACGAACTTTCCGCGGTAAATAGCACAACCATCGCTACATACGGGACGATCACATTTTCGCTGGACTTGGGGCTACGAAGACAGTTCACCTGGAGATTCGCCGTAGCGGATGTTTCCAAGCCCATTATTGGTGCCAACTTCCTCGCCCATTACGGACTCCTGGTGAACATTAGAAATCACCGGCTTTTGGACCAAGTCACTCATCTCACCTCCCGTGGAGAGGTGGTCGAGTGTGAGTCCCACACAATCAAAACCATCGCCAGATCATCACCATACCATCAACTCCTGCAACGGTTTCCGGAAATAACGCTCAAGTTGCTAACCACGCTACAAAACACCACATCGCAACCACTCCTGGACCGCTGGTCGCGCAAAAACCGCGACGACTCGCACCCGACAAGCTTCGCGCCGCCAAGAAAGAATTCGAACTCATGGTGCACATAGGTATCGCCCGTCAATCGCAGAATCCATGGTCCTCACCCCTACATATGGTCCCAAAACATGGAGACGAGTGGAGGCCGTGCGGAGACTACCGCGCACTCAACGCCAGCACAATCCCATATCGCTACCCAGTAAAACACATCCAGAATTTTTCGCAGTCCCTGTCTGGAAAAACAATTTTTTCTACCATCGACTTGGTGCGCGTATTTAATCAGATACCGGTCGCCGAAGAAGATATTCCGAAAACAGTCATCACGACACCCTTCGGGCTATTTGAGTTTATGTACATGACTTTCGGGCTACGAAACGCGCCGCAGACCTTCCAGCGCTTCATCGATGAGGTACTACAAGGTCTCGACTTCTGCTACGCGTACATCGATGACATCCTCGTCGCATCGACGTCCCCGGAAGAACATCTTCAACACCTAGAAACACTTTTCCAGCGACTGCAGAAATACGGAGTTGTCAAGCAACTGCGCCAGTTCTTGGGGATGGTTCTTCAGGAGATTCCTGCCCAACTAAAGCATCACGACACGACAAGGGGAAAATCTTCGTGTTCAAAGACCTAGCCACCACGGACCAGGTGTGCTTACGTCGCGACAGCCCTAAACAACTTCTGTAGCAACCCTATGATGGTCCCTATCGAGTTGTGAGCCGGAAGGACTGAACTTTCGTTGTCCACATCAATGGACGCAACGTAACCGTTTCCATCGTCCGACTCAAACCAGCTTACGTAATGACGGAAGATGCAACCACTTCAACCAGCACTTCCGTGACACCAGCAGACGAGCAGGCACATACGTCTACAGCCAGCAGCCCTGAGGATACACCAGCTAATACGACACCATCACCGACCCATCGCACCACCAGGTCCGGTAGACGCGTCCATTTCCCGGATCGGCTCCAAGGTGGATTTTCATGATTGACACCCTGCGCGAATCACTTGCAGGGGGGTACTGTGGAGGCTGTCAAGTCCCACAAAATTGTGTAGGATTTGTATATTTGTATATAATCTGTATTTAATTACTTCGCAGTATGACCCAGAAACTTTCTCTTCGTCCACCTGCATGTCGTAAAACCTATCTTTTGTTGTACTTACCTTTCCCAAATTTCAAAATACCTTCCAAGAACCCTTTAGACACAATTGTTTCCACCGCTTTCTACCGATCTTTCTTTTCATTTCAATTTCACAAACTCCAAGACTCTTCCTTCAACCGCCGTACCGACAACATCAAAATAAATACGCCAAAATCCAAGTCCTGTTTCAATCACCTAATCACCCCACACGTCAATGAGAAATGTGCGTTGAAAATTATTTGCTTTACCAACAGAAGGGAGAAATAGGTAATAAATTATTACTTTTTATTTAATAAACAGAACTGCAAATAGATTAAGTGTGTAAAGGTAGCAAAGCAAACAGACATTAGAAGTGGTCATTATTTACTTAATAAAACTGGTTATAAGAAAACAAAACAGAGAAAAAACGGATAAAAGTAAATTAATAGCCAATGAAAAAATTAACAATTACAAACTAAATGAACCAAAGTACCAGGAAAACTGTTAGATGTTAGTGAACAAAAAACAAAACAAAAATAAAAGAAACTAAAAGGAAAATATTTATTCAAAGATAACATATTAATTAGAGAAAATAAAAAAATGTTCTACAGCACAGTGAAACTGTCAAGAAGGAAAAAAGAATAGGATAAAAAATAGATAAAAGACAACGATGGAAAAACCTGATAGAGTAAAGAAAAACAAATGAGCGTTGTACAAAGTGCTTTAAGGAATAAGTTGATACAGAATAAAGAGAGAAAACGAAATAAAAGGAAGAAAAATGAAGACAAGAAATACCATAAATCACCAAAGAAGAATTAGAAATGACAATAGCAAAAATAAAAATTGGTCTAAGTTTGTTTATACTCATAGAGCCCTGGAAATATAGTTGAAGAAATACGTTTTTTTTGAAAAATTATAAAATTTGGTTTTGCAAAATTTTATATATTTTGAGATATTATGAATAAAACATATTTACAATTTTCACGTAATTTATTGTCTACATATGTATGTAAAGAGAGAAGTCCAAATCTGTAGACTTCTAAACGTATAAACTAGCAAGAAGGGAATTTTCCTAAATTCAACCCTAGTGAGGTGAAAAAGTGTAGTTTAGCAGTAGGTACTAATGTACCTAGTAACCTAAAATTCTAGTACCCGTTAAACTTCCAAAGAATTTTTGGATGTTACTAATTCATCCCAAAGAAAAAGAAAAGAGGTACCGGTACCATTTGTAAAATATTGTTTACAACGCTACATAAATTTGCAAAATATTATTTATAACTTATAATGAAATATGACACCTAAACTGCAAATAACGCTAACTTCCCTCATAGGCAAAACAAGTAATTGCATAATTTTTTCAATTTTACTTTATCTGGTCTCTCACTTACAAAAATACTAATACATACGAAAAGTTTCGAAAACATAACCTCAATTGTTGTTTTTCGATCAATTGTTTTCGAGCAACTGTTTTTCGATCAATTGTAATTCGAGAAATTTTCCGCGACCCACCTCAATTGACGCATAAGTTCATGCTATTGTTAAATATGTATTGACCTGAGAATTACACTATTATCACTGACATAATTTTCTATTCTTTTCTGTAAGTTCATTGCCAAATGTGCAATCACTTTTGTTACAAATCAAATAATAACTGAAAAACTGCCGACTATAAAACATGTCTAGTCTTCATTTCAACTTCAGTGTTCTACAGCTTCTCCCAGCAATGGCACCAAAATCATCAGTTATCGATCATGAACTACAAGAAATGGAGCCGAAACCAAATCCGCAAAAAAGAGAAATTTCTTGGAAAAAAGTTATATTTTTCGCATATTTGCATGTTGGAGCAGTTATAGGACTTTATTACTTCGTAGCAAAAGCACTATGGGCAACGATACTTTGGGGTATTTTTGGGTCACATTATTTGAACTTTTATTTTATTTGTACTTTAATTTCAGGTTATTTTCTTACTTTTATCTCTACTCAAGGAACAGGAGCAGGAGCCCACCGACTATGGGCACATCGCACCTACAAGGCGAAATTACCCCTAAGAATATTATTGGCATTTTATCAAACACTAACTTTCCAAAAAGATATTTACGATTGGGTCAGAGACCATAGAGTCCACCATAGGTTTTCAGACACTGAATGCGACCCCCACAATGCAAGCAAAGGCTTCTTCTATAGTCACATGGGATGGTTGATGTTAAAGAAAGAAGACTGTGTCATTTCCAAAGGAAAATTATTAGACTTGAGTGATTTAGAGGCTGATGCTGTAGTTATGTTCCAACGAAAGTAACTAGTACCCATTTGTTGGTGATTCATTCTTACTACTTTTATTTTTCAGGTACTACTGGTATTTAGCTCCAGTTATTGCTTTTGCCATTCCAGCTTTCGTACCGTGGTACTTCTGGAACGAAAATTTCCAGGTTTCGTGGTACGTCTGCAACATGTTGCGTTACTTCCTTACACTTCACGGTACGTGTTTGGTCAACAGTGCTGCCCATATTTTCGGCAAAAGGCCCTACGACAAGTAAGTACCTTTTCACAGTTATGTCGTACTTCATTCTGGTTTTATTACAGAAATATATTACCACGAGAAAATTTGCTAGTCTCTTATATTACTAATGGGGAAGGTTTCCACAACTACCACCACGCATTTCCCTGGGATTATAAAGCTGCAGAGTTGGGTAGTTATTATGGGAATTGGAGTACTGCTTTCATCGATTTTATGGCCAGGGTAGGGTGGGCTTATGATTTAAAGAGTGTGCCCACAGAATTAGTTTCAAGAAAAGTGAGAAAATCAGGAGATGGTAGTTGGCAGTTCTTGAATGATTACTCATGGGGTTGGGGTGACAAAGAAATGAACAAAGATGACATTAAAATGACAAGAATTACCTACAGAACTGGTGTTCAAACAGGTTAATTTTATTGTTGTAGGATTAGTATTAATTCGAGTATTTATTTGAAAATTGTACATTGTTTATGTTTAGAAGTAGGGTTATAATAAAGTAATCTCCGAAAAAAAGTGAGTGATTTTTTTACTCCACACAGTAACATTTCTATGCATTGCAGTATATTTTTCACTTAATGCAAAAAAATGCATGGAATCTGGTACTAAAAATCACGAATCAAGGTTATATATATATTTAATGATTTAAATAAAACTTAATAAATTACAATAAATTATGAAACATTAGTAAAATGAAAACACTGTTACCAGTTCTGGCAATGACCTTGTTGGTTTAGAACAATGCGGTTATGCAACAGTATAGCTATTAATTTATTATTCATGCAAATGAAGTACTCAAAAAACATTGAACTAATTGCATCTATGCAATGTTAAGTATCTGTTCCATTTTTTAGTAGGAGAGTTACATAATAAAATTAATTATTTATAGCAAAATATTTTATTGTCCCATTCACCGACACAAAAATTATCTACGCAAAATTTCTGACTTAACCTAAATCTGTGATATTATTGGCCCGAAAAGGGGCTTCCATTTTTGTCAGAAACATTGACGCGTATGAAGAAAATAACCAAAGAAACAACAACCCTAGCAATATATTTTTCAGTACATCTAAATAATAAAGCCTCTTCAGAACCTTTCTTGCGTAAGGAATAGTGTCGGGTTCTTCGCGAACGCAGAATCTTCGAGCACCCAAAACATAATCTAGGAAGTACTGGTTAAAATTTATTTTAATTCTATCTGTAAAAAATATCTCCTTGTCTTTCTCAGTCAGTTGTTCCCACAGATTTGCGAATTTGTCGTTGTGAAAGTACCAAGGGCGGGTGGTGTAATACTGTAAGATTTCAAGACCAGCTTGGATGCGCTTCTGGGTACGAACTAAACTGTAAATAATTTTCTATATTTAGGGAACAACACAATAAGTTTAGTACTTACAATGGTTTGTTTCCAGTCAGCATCATTAAAAAATCTACTAAATATGCAGGGATTATGTGTAAAAAAATGACTGACATCATGTGGTACCAATAATTCGACTTAATACTACCACCTGGATACCACAAACAAACACTAAAGGGATTATCGTAAAAGTGCTTCCTTCCCATCTGCAGAGCGTTTCCCCAACTTATAGAATTGTCGTTGTTTGCGGTTAAGTGATATACTTGAACATTATTAGAAGGTGACGAACCCAGCTTCCAACCGATGATGATTAACGAATTAATGGTACAATCCACAGGCACCAAATTTGCCTCGAAATCTGGATTGCAGTGCATTGAGCGAATCACACCTTTTCCTGCCCCCACTATCAATCCCGTGGGACCATGCAAATTATCTACCCAACCAGCATAAGGCTCTTTCCAGGCTGCTGTGACAATCGAAGGCCTAGCGATAACTATCGGTATCTTCGAAGAGTATTCTACCACCAACTGTTCCGTCAAACATTTGCTGTAAGCGTAAGTATTGGGCCATTTTTGTATTAACCTCGGTGTCAGGAAATTTAACAAGTCATCGTCCATCCATGTCACCATGTCCAGAATTTTTCGTGGATCGTGTGGCGCTTGATAGACTTTTTCGTGGAGTTCTACGTGGGTGCAGTGGCAATACGAAGTTGACACGTGGACAAAAGCTGCCAGTTTTTTGAAAGTGCAAAGAAAGTCGAGAAGGTTTTTGGTCCCAACTGTGTTATGAGTTACTGCAGCTTTTAAAGTTTGGTCGAAACGTACAGTTGCCGCCATGTGGAATACCACGTCGACGTTGTCTTGTAGAGTTTTTTGGTCGTCATTTGATATGTTTAGATTTGCTTGAGTTGTGTCTCCACTGATGCAGTATAGTTTGTTGAAGAGCTTTTCGCTGTTAGGCTGGTTGCGCACTTTGTCAAAAACCTAAAAAGTAAGAAACATTTATATTTATAAAAGTTAATACCATATGAGTTTGTTTTGACTTTCGCTCGGAATTCAATCCGATTTATCGAAAAAAGGCGAGAGGTAAAATGTTAAGAGTAGTCGAGGAAATGGGAGTGATAATAGACCCTGCTGTACATCAGTGGCGGCTCGTGGTGATTTTTGATGGGTGGGCAAAGCATTATAGGTAGGTTATAACATGTATGAAAAAAATATATATACATATATATAATTAATCATTTTTGTGAGAACGTGTTTTTGTTTTGGTGCTGCATGTCAATCAATATAATATAACAAATATTTTATGTATATTAAATATATATTATTTTATAAATGTTACTTACAATGTCGGTCAGCAAGAACCAACGAGGACGTCGAAGACTCTTGGTAGAAGAGAAAAGAGGAGCAAAAAAAAGGTTCAGCACATAAATAGATTTGTTAGGAGTTTATAGAACTATAAACTCAAATAATGATCGCAACATGTAAAAATTTTGAAATAACATGACGAGAAAACATTAAATTTTAAACCTTTGAGATAAGCTACACTTAGAAAAGCAGCAATTTGGAAAATTATTGTAAAAGCAAAATTATAAATGCCAAACAAACAAAACATAAATTTTCAAAATACTAACAAAGTTAACAGTAACAAATAAAATAAAAATAATTCTAAAATAATCGTTCTGAAGACCACCAAAGACTCCTCCAAAAAACTTTTTAAATTTATCATCGAATTTACTTTAAGAGAAATTTGCCATTCATCTTGCTCCCGAAATGTATGTTTTTGTGTAGCCAAGAAAATTATCATATCGAATAAACGCCGAATTTAAGAGAATTTTCTATAGTTTCACTTCGTTTTCCAAGTAATTTTCGTTTATTCAGATTGGTCATGTTTTTGTAAAGCAGTAGCGATATATTTTATATCGCTCTTCTTGTGGAATTCTAAAGTATTCGTAATTTAATTTTAAGTTAAATAGCAGATAATTCCAACAGTTTTGTTGGTTGTTTCACTACCGATCAACCAACTAATAGGTACCTAATATTTATTGTCCGAACTTTGATTAAAGCCTTTATTACTGCCACGAGAGTTTGTGATGACCAATTGTTTCATTTCGGGACATGATCTTAATTTATAAACAAATAATTCATAAATATCAAGTTCCATACTACTGAATTTATTTATTAAAAACAAAAACTCAATGTCTTTAATGCCTTCTTTACCACCTCTCTAATATTATTTGCACAGCTTACAGTAGGATTTGCCATTAAAAAAAATTGCTAGAAAGTACCTACTTTGGTACCCGCCTAACTATTTGGTAATTTGAATAAGCTACATTTTATAATTAAATGCACTATCCATCCACAATGCAGTTTCTGATCTGACTGAATTCAATTGAGTCGTGTCTCCGACGAGGACGAACCATGCCGAGTGCTTCCGATTTTCAGGGTGGATTTGCCCACCCATCCTAGAGCGAACGCCTAACAAACCTGTGCGGACAGTCTGAATTAAATAATAAATTAAGCGTATATTTAACTTTTGTTGACTCTACTACAGCTAAATTTATGAAACAAAAATACATATGTAATAATAAAAAAATACACATGTCAGATACGTACTGCAATAATAAATGTATTACTTATTCTCATCATTAGTTATTCGGATTTTTAAATTTATAATTCATTATAAAGTTTACACGGTGTCATAATACAAGAATATGGTTATTACAAATTTTCATTTGATATGAAAAAGTATTTATTAATTATTATGGTGTTGCTCTTTTCTATAACAATAGTATTCAAGAATTTTCGCATAACATTATTTTCCTTACTAAGTACCTTACCCATATTTCAATAGAGTAATAAAAATAATTACCTCTATACTTTTACAATACAGAAGAAGTAAAAAAATCGAAATTAATGTATTGAATCCTTGAATCGAATATTGAGAGATCCGATTCTGCAGCGTTTGAGATATACGTTGAAGGCAGGGCGTCCTGCCCCGCTTGCAGCAAGAAAACACGGATACGCAAAGACGCGCGTTTCGAATTCTTTACTCTCAATTACGTACATAGAAAACCGAACGTATGTCGTTGCTTACAATCAAGAGGGTGGACCAGGGTGGACTAGCCCATCCTCACATGAACCGTATAACGCCGAGATCTGACGCACTTTTTTACAACTGCAATTTCTCAGTTGCGGAAACTGCGGGATGTAATGAAGAAAATCCGTTGGCTTAAATGATGCTTACGACGATAATTATTTGTGTATATGTACATATAAAATATTTTAAAAAAGAAAAAAAATCAATATTTTACTTCGTATCATAAACAATCAAATAGGGTGGGCATTGCCCACCCTGCCCACCCCGAGGAGCCGCCACTGCTGTACATACAGATGAAGTTAGAAGAATGGGGATGTATAAACCAGAAGAAATAAAACCCATAGTACTAAAGCTTGCGACGAGGCAAATGTAAGTAGAGCTACTAGACAAATAAAAGAACTAATAAGTGAGGATTTGACTAAAAAGATACAAAAAAGATTAAAAAAGATACAGGAAAAAAGGAGATCGCTAATACCTCATTTAAAACAGACTAGAAAAAAAGCTCATAAAACTACCCTAAGATACAACAAGCTGGAAGTTAACAATGAAATATATATGAAGCACGAAACCTTTAACAAAAATATACACAATAACAGAAAACGAGCTAGCAGAAGAAATGAAAACATACAAACTATACTAGCCAGGAGTTGCAGAAACCAAAGAGAAACGCAACGCCATAAGGATAAGAGTAGAAACTACAGAATGGGGATCAGGTGTAGGTTCATGGTAAGCTCAAATAAAAGGAAGAAAACAAAAATCGAGAGGAATATTAACGAAAACTATTTATTAGTCATAGAAGCAATTACAGATATAAATATAGAAAGAAGTGATTATAAAAAGTGCAAATCGAAAACAAAAACTTACATACAAGATTAAGCAAAGAGGAAGCCGACAATAAATTGGGAACACAAGACCAATGGACCTATTTCAAAAACAATATAATACTAACAGCCAAAGAAACCTGTAGGGTAATGAAAGCAAATAATATACATACAAAGAAAAGTAAGTAGTATACACCAGACGTACAAGGTGAGATAAAAAAAAAGAAAGAAAAATGGAACAAATATGTAACGACGAAAGAAAAGGAAAACTATATCTTAGACAAACCAATAATCAGGAAGATCAAACAGGTAGTCAAAAAGCGACAAAAAAGGCATGGAGAGAATTTGTAACCACCATGGAAGAAAACTACGGTGGAAACCAGAACCTATTCCACAGCACCTTAAAACAACTAAAACAAAGAAAGTCTAAATTACTAAACATAATACATAAAGAAGGAAATCTTAAGTCTTAACAGATGAAAAAATGATAATGAAAGCTGGAACCAATACTCCGAAGTCATCACAAAAATTATAGAAAGAAGAAAAAGTTACAAGTGACAATTGGAAACACACAACAGGGATTTATAGAAAGGACAGAAGCACCCAAAAACTAATATTCACAATAAGACAAATGAGAGGGACAAAGAATGAAAAATACACTTATGTTTTATTGTTCTAAAGACCTTCGATAAAACAAAGAGGAGCGACGTCCGGGATAGTTTAAGAAAGAGAAGAGTTGAAGAAGATATGATGACCGAATTTAAATCAAAATTTTCGCGCTGAAATTAATTAACAGCGGCGCGAAATCACATTTGAATAATTTGAATTTGAAAAAAAATTCATCAAAAAAAAATCGTTAAACATAGGCAACCTGGTGCACGGAAACGTTTGCTTGGTAGTCGGACGATTTAGCGCTAGAGGTTTTTAGTTGGAGGCAAGTTATTTAGAGATTTACAAGGTATGCTCGGGCTGTACTTTAAAACTGAAAGATGCTGTGACTTCACTGGTGTAATCTAGGGGAGAGGTCGGAAAAACGAGTACCGAGAGACTAGAGCAAAATGGATTAGAATAGCAAACTGTTATTAGTCTATTCACTAAAATGAAATTCATTTGAAGTGTATTTTTTAACATAGAAAAGCGCTTTCATTCAAAACGTTTTTAATAAAAAATAACCCGAAAAAATAACCTGTTCTTTATTTGTCGTTATTCTGGTTATGTGGTTTATTGTAGTTATATATAACAATTTAAAAGCGAAAAATGATTAACCGTAGATGCTAGTACTCTTGTTAACTTTTCTGTAAAGGTTAATTTTTGTTTTTTGGTAGTGAATCTTTGGTTTTTTTTTTTTTCGAATAGTGACAAAAGAAATATTGCAAATGTAAAGAATTGGTCGAACGTTATTTCGACAGAACTTCCCTCCTGCAATACAATCCACTAAAATTAAATCCCGCTTCTCAAAAAATTATAAAATTTAACATTCTTGCGATAATCTCTATAAATTAAAACGAATAAATTAAATATATTTATATAATAAAAACCGGCTATCCTTAAATATTTCCCATTATTCCAATATTGCATAAAGGAAAAGTACACCAATCAAAAATAATGGCTGTATTTCCGAATACAAAACAATACCGGTCAACGGTTTGTATTTGATATTTGACATCTGGATGCGGAGAGGCAGAGACGTGAGACGATTCGATTCGGGGTGCCGTTTAGTCCCGATAAGAGACGAGAGTACTCGATTCCTCCACTGACGTCACAGATGTCACTACCTCGTCCCCTCCCCTTAAGGGGCCTATACATCAATTCCCTATACCCTTAGCATACCTTGTAAACCTCTAAATACCTTGGTTGGAGGGTTGGTGGTTAGACAAAGAGCGGCATGGCGTAGCGTCAGTCTGAATGTGCTTGTGTGACTGTAACCACGTGGTAAGAGCTAGTTTAAATTAGTTGGTTTGGTAGTTAATAAAATGGGAGGAAGCCTTTGTTTAACGACAATCAGTCGTAGCCAACGTCACTCAGGTGTCCCTAACCCGCGCGGTGAATCTTTCCGGCCTTTT